TTTGTCTTTCAGGAACAATTACAAAAATTGAATCCTATAACTGCTCTGGGAGAGTCCTGATTTTTTGTGTTGCTTCAGGTCAAGAGTCAAATTTTGCTATAGCAGTATAATTACATCTGTAGTTAGAAATGTATACATATCTGACATTTCAGTAATTTTTAAAAATATCTTTAAGATATACAGCTATTCCAGTCAAATATAGAAGTTAATACATCACAGAAAATTACAGTATCCCACCCTTTTCAGAGTCAAATTATTGTCAAACAGAAGAAGTCTGACATCTAGTGGCTATTTAGGATAATTACATATTCTTTTTTCTTGAAATAGCCTAGGAAATTTTCTACACTCTACACTCTCAACTAGATATGTCTGAAGTCTGCTGAAGTCATCACCTTTAATGTCAGGCACATGTTTACATCATATGCAATTTCTTTCATTAAAATATTCATAATTTTACATTTAGAAGACTTACTGCTTACAAACTGAACCAAAGGTCTACACATCTCAAACATTTTCAATGCATTTCTTTCATTTTATGCATCTGGGTAGGAAAGTGTACATTTGAGTGATTCACTCATTTATTTGCACAAACAATGTATGAGATAAGACATCAATACCTGGAAACTAACACCATATTAATACAGTATTATTAAGATTATTAAGTATTAATATGGTGTACTACACTCAATACTTATCTGGCATAACTGGATCACATGTTTTGCAAGGTTATAAAATTAGAAAGAAAAATGTTAAATGCAGTAATTATATATTAAAGGAGTGTAGTGGCACAAAAAATTATTTGCATCTAGTATTAAGTAATAGAAAACTGTTTTGATTTCTCCAAAATACAAATACTACAAAAGCTAATATTAATTTAAGCATACATCTCACAAAATTTAACATACCCCTAAATTGTCACTTGGAAACCTCCTAGAGCCACTACACAAGCATACACACATTTTTCCCAATATTTTGTGCAGTTACATAACTCAAATGTAGCTCCAGCAGTCTCAATTAATAGACAGAGAAAAAGACCAGGATTCTTTCAAAAGAGGCTAATGATTTTGGTTGGCTCAATATTTAGGCCCCCAACTTGAGGTAAAGCTCACAAAACTGTATTTATGTAAGACAGTAAACAGAAAAAGGCCATTAAGAACCAACATGCTTTACCACTTCTGACTAGACTCAATCCCACTTTATTACTTTTTAAAATCTCCAGCTGCTCAATTTTTCTTCAGATCTAAAATTATATTAGCTAATTTTATATTTACTCACTTTAAATAGCTATGCTCTATAAAAGAGCTTTTCAACCTGTGGTCCATGGATCTCTGGTGATCAGCAGACTATGTTGAAGATTTCCAAAGCAATCCAGCCTTCCCTTCAACATTTTTAGGACACCACAAGTGAAAAGAGGTTGAAATCCACTGCTCTCAAGCATAATTCCAAGACAATAATATTCCCAAATGATAGTGACCAAATTCCAAATATAACTACTTTGGTTTGTATTCTGTCCTTTTACTTAAATAAAAATACTTTGAATTAATTAAACTATTTTGTTTCTCTCCTTCTCCCACTCATCATATATGTGCTGTGGGACAATGTTTAACATTATTTGTCCAGAAATCTTAAAGTCATTTCCTGGTCAACATACTAGACAATTTACAGAAATCCTATAACTTGCTTCTGAGCTACTGTTTTTTTGTTTTGACCTGACTACAAAAACTGCACACAATATTTCTAAAAAGAACAAAGAATTGTAAACCACAGTGTCCCCTTTAGTATTATAGTACTTTATCTTACAATTCTGCAATGTGGAAACCATATTTTCAAAGACACCTTATGGATACAAAACAAATATATCTCAAACTAGGTAAGCAGATGTCCTATAGAAATGACATGGAACATAATACTCTTACCCACTCAACTCTTAAAATTACAAATAAAAGCTTTTAAAAAATGTATTAAAACATTAAGATGAACACAGTTATTCCTATACATTGTACGGTATCTTTGGGTTAAAGCTTTTTGATAAACAGTGTTTTAAGTGCTCTAGTTAGATATGTATCAATAATAAAATGTTGAGGTTCTCAGTCATGAAAAAAAATCACATTTTCTTCGATATGTGCAGAACAAACCTTTTCTTTGTGAACCAGGCATAAAAATCTTAGCAAATATACAGATAGTAAACATGAATTAAAATCAAGTATTGAAAATTAACAATACAGTACTTGAGGATGTGCGGCTGTTGTGCATTACAGAATTTTACATTCTTCTTATTTGTATAAAAAAGAACCACTAGGGAATCCATTGTATATCACTGAGTTCTACAGCATCCCCAAGGCCTCCTTCAGCTTCCAAGTAATTCATGAGAGAAGCCATGGCAGTGTCATCATTTTCACACATTGCATCAAAATCTAATTGGCAATTGTCACCTACGAAACAATTAAACAACACTATTTAAGCAGCATAAAAACTTACTCAACAAAGTCACATTTCAAACTTACTTTTACAATGTCTCAGAGAGGTAGCCATGTTATCCTGTAACTTTAAAAACAATGAGTAGTTCCGTGGGACATTAGGGCATATCATATCTACACTAGAAAATTATTTTGAAATAACTACATTAGAAATAATAACTACTGAAAGAACTATTTCAAAATAAGCTATTCCCCGAGGAAAGCACGAGTACAGATTTCGAAATAACCAGACTTATTTTGAAATAATGGGCTTGGTAGTGTGGACACGCCGCTTATTATTTCAAAATAAGGGGGGTTATTTCAAAGTAACTCCCTAATGTAGACCAGGGCTTAGAAGCTAATATATAAGATCATGAATATCAGATGAAAGTGGGTTTTATATATTTGTTAGTCTCTATATTGCCAAGGATTACTTGTTTTTATTTTTAAAACAGCAGCTCTCCCTGAAGACAAGAATGTAATATGCCCCTTACGTGCTTCAATTTACCCTTCTTTAAACGCACATTTCAGATTCAGGAGAGACACTTTCAATGTTTATACCACCAAATTATTCAGAGTATTTTGCTGCACATGAACCGTCAAAAGAATAGGTAACTTGATTCTAGGACTAAATTTATGTCACTCCATAGACACACTTTAAACTTCATGCTAATAAAATGACAAATTTAATGCCACACTATTTACATAGAAAACTTGATTTCAGTACAGTTTATAAAATGGTCTTACTTTAAATAATAAACATTTCAAAAGACATGGTTGCTTCATTTTTCACATTTTTATTTAAAAAAATTCTGAAATTTTGTATTTATCCAAATCTCAAGTGTTTGATAGAAAAATGTTTTAATATAAAAGAAAAATGGGTCATTTCAGACCCTATAAAATGGAAAGAACTTCAAAATTCCAACCTGTTTTGCAAAACATTTATGTTTCGATCAGCTCTATAGACACAAACATTCATACTTTACATAAAGGGTCTGCACATCAGGTTATATCCAGTTCCCTTAATTCTGCATGGATCAGCCCTGCACAACTTCTATTTTTGGAAGGAAGAACTGTGAAGCAACCTATTTGTGAGTATTGGAGAGCAAGAGAAAAGACAGTGAACTTCCGTTCCCACTATTATGATGGGATATAATTAAAATAGGAACCCTGATAACCCTTCAAAACTGGAACAATTTTGAGCACACTCACTGTACAACTTTGTTGTGCTGAAGCTGTACCAACTGATAGAGTTTTTCTTTAAAGCAGGGGTTGGTAACCTTCAGCACGCAGCCCATCAGTATAGTCTGCTGGTGGGCTGCAAAGACACTTTATGTAGATCGTTTTCAGGCACAGTCCTCTGCAGATTCCAGTGGCCGCAGTTCACTATTCCCAGCCACAAGAAGCTGTAGGAAGCGGCGGCCAGCACATTCCTCCAGCCTGTGCCACTTTCTGCAGCTCCGATTGCCCAGGAATAGCAAACCATAGCCACTGGGAGCTGCAGGGTGCCATGCCTATGGACAGCCAACATCAGCAAATTGTTTAGCAGCCCACCAGCAGATTATCCTGAGCCTTGGTCTACACTAGGGAATTATTTCAAAGTAATATCTCTTATTTAGAAATAACAATCACAGCATCCATACTACCAAGCCCATTATATCAAAATAATAACTCCTGCTTTCCATGGTGAACAATGCTTATTTCAACCTTTCTGAAACGATTTCAAAATAGTTATTTCAAAATAGCGTTAGTGTGGACACTCCATTGCTGCTATTTTGAAATAACTACTCCTCCCCCCCCCAGTGCTTCCTGGGGCTCTAAGTCGAGGTAACATATCCACATTAACGGAGCCTGCCTCAGACTAATTTCAAGGCTTCCCTGTAGTGTGGACACACTATTTTAAATTAGTTATTTTGAAAGAAATTATTTCAAAATAGTTTTCTAGTGTAGTCGTGCCCTGATGGACCACATGCTGAATGTTGTTGACCTTACTTTAAATAAAAAGTGATAAATTGTAATAAAAGAGCTCTTACTGAGAAGAGGTTCATTGCTTGGGAAAGAAACAGTGCCCTGATTTTGCTCAGAGGTCTCCAAGTCCTCCATTTCTGAAGGACATAATCGAACCAGCTCTTTATTTGGCTCCTGAAAACACAAAAAAGAAAAAAACATCATGAAGTTAAATTATAAATTGATTAAAACCACCATACAAATGAATTAATTTCTCTGAGTCTAGAAAATGATCAAAGCTCACATTCTTCCACTTCACATACCATAATCTCTACAAGGCTTACGCTAACCCCCTCCCCTCCATGAATTTTAAAGAACATACATCTTAGCTTTAAAAAAAAAGACTCACCGTATTTTAGTTTCTGCACTAAGCTATTTGGAATGCAAGCATTTGTTTAAAAAAATGCTGGTATTTTTGTTGCATTTTAAATCTTGTTTTCAGCATGTAAATATTTTAAATTGTATTTAAATGGTTTTAGTGCTTACAAGGAGTCTAGGGTACTATTTTGACTGCAATGGAAACTGAAGACTTTTCACCACCAAGCTATAGCAAGAACTGCCACATGGGTTTTCCTTTAGGGGACTGTGATTAGTTCTACGCTGCAAAGAAAAGTTGGAAAAAGATGATAAGCAAATTGCGGGTCACAATTTGCTTATCTTTTTCCACTTTTCTTTCAAAAGAAGTTTTTTCAAAATGCGGCCTGTCTACACGGTGCCAAATTTCAGAAAAGCCCCTTTCAACACATCCCTTCTTCCGCGTAGAACAAGGATTACAGGTATGGTAAAAGAACGTATCTACTTTTTCGGAAATTGTTCTGAAAAATCAGACGCATTCCTTGGACACGGCACAGCTTTTCCGGGATTCTTTTGGTATCCTGGAAAAGCTCTGCAGTCTAGATTGTGCCCCCCCCCCACAGTCTGGCACCTGAGGTGGCCACCTCAGTTTGCCTCATGGTATGGCCAGCCTTGCACTAATTAGAGGGTGGGTCAGTATCTATGAATCAGTTCTTAGGACAGAGCTGAAGTAATGTATGGGTGGGAATGGACGTCAGGTATAAAAAAGGGAGAAGGGGAAAAATCATAGCACAATGCTGTTGAAAAAAATTATCAGAGAAAAGCTACATTTAAGTAGGAAGACAGTGATTGGGTTCACAATTTTGCTGGAGGGAAGGAAATAAGTGATTAAGAGTATGGTCCAAAGGTCCCCTCTAAGCTGTATGGCAGCATGGTCCCACAGCTAGCTGCTAAATGAACCCCACCTTTCATTGAAAGTTTTTGGAGTCAATGGTATATGATATACTTACACTGTTGCATTTTGGAGTTAACGTTGGGGAAAATTTCCTCATAAGATCAGATGGACTTAACTCACCAACAGATGGAGAATGTTGTAATCTAAAAAATATACATGTGCATATTGTACAATACATTCACTGTTAAGTATGAATTCCAGCCCCTTCCATTTTAAAATAAAAAACTTATGTAGTCTCAGAGCACAGCAATACCCACCCAGATGATAAGCTATTTAAGACTTCAGACAATACTGCTTTCTCAAAAGTGAAGTTTGAAGTCTGTCACATAACTGCGCACACTTCCTGCTCCTAATTTTGGTAAAGAAAGAGAAGCAATAGGCCATCTAGACCCAGGATTATAATTAGTAGAACATATTTTCTCAATTATAAAAATGAACATACGTCAGGACAAAGAGCCATGGACACTTCAGTGCAAAACTTCTCACTCTGGAGCACATAGCTTCCAAAAAGCTGAACATGGTGGTTTGGAATTTTGATGTATAATTGGTGGGAACAAAAATGAAAAAAAGTGGAGGGAGTGGGGGAAAAGAGAGGGAACATACCCTACACATATCCTGTTGATATTTACTTTTACTTCTTGTGCTCTTTCATGCAATTCTTTCATTAAATGCTGTCTGGGAAATTTAAAAAACAACAACAAATAGACCAGTAGCACTTTAAAGGCTAACAAAACATGTAGATGGTACCATGAGCTTTCGTGGGCACAGCCCACTTCTTCAGATGACAGTGGCTTGCACCCACGAAAGATCAGGATATTGGTAGGAGAAATTAAAGAAAACTGGCAATAATATACATTTAGGAAACAGCAGTGAAACACCAGTGAACAGGGAGCTGGATGTTTGTGGAAAAGTGAAAAATCTTTCATATAGTACTTTAAAAAGTAGAAAAGTTAATAAAGACATAACTTGATCAGTTGCAGGATTTGACCATATAATCTTGGCTAGCTGCAATAATCATTCCAAAATGAGGTGTGTGATTTTCTGCTGGAAAGGGGTTGCAAAACAAACACAGGATGAGAAATCTCTTCCACTGTGAATATTTTCTACATTGTAGCCATTTTTTCCACTAGTTCTTCAAACTGAATATCACCTTCTGATGGAGAAGTAGTTGAGGAAACCACACATAAGGACACAAGATAGACCATGCTGGGTCAGACCGGTGGTCTATCTAGTCCAATATCACAGCTTTCCATAGAGGATGGTACCAGATGCTTCAGAGGGACTGAACAGAACAAGACATTTATCACAGAGTGATCCCTGTGATTCATTCACAGCTTTTTGCATTCAGAGATTTAGGGACACACAAGGCTGTGTCTACACTGGCATGAATTTCCGGAAATGCTTAAAACAGAATACTATTCCGTTTTCAGTTTTTTCGGAAAAGGAGCGTGTACATTGGCAGGCTGCTTTTCCGGAAAAGCCCTTTTTCTGGAAAAGCGTCTGTGGCCAATGTAGACGCGCTTTTCCGGAAAAAAGCCCCGATCACCATTTTCGCGATTCGGGCTTTTTTCCGGAAAAGACTACTGGGCTGTCTATACTGGCCCTTTTCCGGAACAGTGTTCCAGAATAAGGACTTATGCCTGAGCGGGAGCAGAATAGTTTTTCCGGAATAGTGGCTGATTTTGTACAGTAGAGCATCGTTGCTTTTCCGGAAATTCAAGGGCCAGTGTAGACAGGTCGCAGCTTATTCCAGAAAAGCGGCTGATTTTCCGGAATAAGTGGCCCAGTGTAGACACAGCCACAGAGAATGGGGTTGTATCCCTGCCTATCTTGGGTAATAGCTACTGATGGACCTATCCTCCATGAACTTATCTAATTCTTGTTTTAAACTCAGTTATACTTTTATATATCATCAGGAGACCAGTTTTGCTAGCTGGTTCCCTGTTCATGTTCTGGAATTCAATGAAACCTTATGGTTCATTTTCTGATAAAATATCAGGAACTAATGCTGGACAAGGTCCCTCAGAAATGAAGATGTAAACTGATCTGGATGAGTTTGATCCAGTGTGCAAGGTTTAAGGGGATCTTTGTAAAGACAGAACAGGTCAGCATCCTTTTAATAGCTAGGAAAAAGTCAGTAAGGTCATTTAACCCAACGTGATATATTCCATTCTTGCCAGTATTCAGAGTCAGATTCTCTATACTAATATCCCTGTAGGATAATTGTATTCTGTTTGTCTAAATTCTCTGTATGTTGTGTCAATTTAATGTTTTCTAGTGTATCTGAGCCACTCCCCAGGAAAAAAAATGTGGCAAGTTAACAAGTCTGTACTTGCTAAAATGGATGCTCTTGTGTAAAAGCACATCTCTTGCTCAAAAGCACATGACAGTGTGGACGTGCTCTTGTACAAGACCTTTCATGCAAGAACTCTTGTGGAAAACAGTTCTTGTACAAAAGGCCTGCAGTGTACATGTAGCCTTTGTCTTTGGCTGGCATGACACACCCAAGAGGGTAACCAGAGACCCTAGTGGGAAAAAAAATCATCCCTGGCTTGGAGGTTTATCTGAAATAAGAACAGTTTTAGGGTACGTTTGCAATAAGCTTTAATGTGCTAGCTATGAGCTTTCTGTTACTTTAAATTTGTAATTTGCTCTGCCTGTTTTCACTTGCAACCAGGAAGCAACCCCAAAGGGCCTTCTGTGATTGTACCCCATCACAGGTTAATTCTACACCAACAGAGTGAACCAAGGCTCAGAGTTCTGAGTCTATGATTCCAGTCGGAACGACGTGGTGAGGTTCACGATCAGTCTGAAACTGTGATTGGAAGGAACTGAGGTTGCTGAAATGATATGCCTTTTAGAATATTACCCTCTGAATATTTGGGGACAGTGATAAATGAGATCAGAGGAATGGGCTATAAGGGTTCCCCAACCGACACTGCTACAAGAAAGTTCCTCCTTCAGAGTCCACTTTGAAGATAAAGATTATTTCTAATCCATAGGCTGACTTTTCTAATCTAGTTTAAAAAGAAAATGTAACTAATCGAGAATAATACAAATTTTAGAAATTTGGATGAATAAGCAAACTTTTAAAATATTAAAAAAATTTGGGTGAATAAGCAAACTTTTAAAATGACTAGCACATTACTAAGATGGTTATCAGGTCAGAGCTCTGCACTGTCATGCAGGAATCTCAAGGGAGGTTGTTATATTTAATCTCTCACAACGTAATATACTAATGTTGAATCAAAAAACAACTACTCATATGACAAGATAAAATAAACGCAGTACATTAGTTAATTTCCATTAATTATTTATGTTTGCTATTTTTTTTGCTCAAAGCCTTAAAATACATATTTAATTTTCATTACCTTTCTAAATTTAATGCTTCATTTGCAATCTCAGTTCCTATGCTTCCAGCACCAAGTATTGTTCCAGTGGACATCCCAGGTACACTGAGAAAAGACTGCTTTGAAGTATCTATAATTACAAAAAGAAAACAAAGTAGAAGTTTATTAAATATTAATTTATTTTCACTAAACAGCAAGAGCCTCTTATTTACATAAAAAGATTCCTCGTATTACTAACAACTTAGAGAGAATTTTATAAATTTAATTAGATTTTCATTGTTCACTTCCCATTTCACTATGCTTGACTAATGAAACTACATTTCATTTAAAATCAGGATGGACTGATTTAAATTGGCAATAATTTTATATTTGTATGCTATTTTCTTAAAGAAAAGTTAATTCTCATTCATTAGTAATCATTATAACACACCAATGTGCAATGAAATATAGCATTTACACTAACTTTGGTGCTTTAACCAGGAAGATACAGAATATCCACACACGTTTATTTAAGCTATTATACAGATTAATTTAAATTTATCCAGATTCTTAACTTTTACATATTTTATTTGTTAGAAAATGGTGACTTATGCACTTATTTATTACATATTGTTATTTTATTTGCAATTTGTGTCAAGCTCGATGGGATGAAAATTAAATTAAATTAAATTAAATTAAATTGTATTAGATAAATTACTGGATATGTAGTTAAAAAGTTTATTAGAACATGTTTTGTATTTAAAAATGACTGATTTATTAAACAAAGGAAGTATTATCTGTAGTTAATTAACTGGACACATTGTTTCTGGTCACCATGGCCTTCAAGACTGCTATTTAATTGAAATGATTGAATAAACTGAAATGAAGAAAATACTTTCTTTGCACTTACACAAGACTCATAACAAAGGCCATACTGGGTCAGATAAATGGTATACCTCAACACAGTATCCTGTCTTCTGACAGCAATTAATGCCACAATCTTCACAGGGAACAAACAGAACAAGGAAATTATTGTGTGATCCATCCCATCATCCAGTCCCTGATTCTGGTAGTCAGAATATAAACACCCAGAGCATATAGTTTTGCTTCCATGACCATCTCGGCTATCCTTCATGAACTTACCCTTTTTGAACTGTGTTATACTTTTGGCCTTCACAACACCTTTTGGTAAAGAATTCCACAGGTTGTGTGTTGGGTGAAATAGTACTAACTCTTGTTTATTTTAAACCTGCTGCCTATTAATATCATTTGGTGACCCCAGGTTCTTGTCTCATGTTAAGTAGTAAATAGAATTTCCTTATTCACTTTCTCCACACCATTCATGATTTTACAGACCTCTTTCACATCCCCTCTTAGTTTTCTCTTTTCCAAGCTGAAAAGTCCCAGTCTCTTTAATACCTATGCGTATGTAATACCTGTCCAGAACCTTAATTATTTTTGTTGTCCTCTGCAATACCTTTTCTAGTTCGAATGTATCTTTTTTGAGGTGGGGTGACCATATCTGCATGGGCGTACCATGGATTTATATAGCAGCATTATCATGGGCAGCCAGTATGGTAGGCGGGGGAAGGCATTGCCTTCCCAAACCTCCAGCATGGCCCCACCCACACTCTGCTCCCAGAAATGCTTGCTGTAAATTTTATTCATTTTATTGTATTTTCATTCTTTGAAAGTTGGTATGCCATTGGTAAGCATAACTCTTAGGTAACTGGAATGTTTGATTGATTGGCACCCACATTATCTCAGCATGCCGAATAACAAAGTTTTCGCTGTACTATGGATCAGAAGCTGATACAATGAGCTACATGAGCCAAAGATACTATGTTTAACACTTGAGTATTAAAGTATGTTTTATACTTTAATACAAAGATACTTGAGTTGGCTTGGAGAATGCTTATTTTCTTCATACAATTCCCCTGGAGCCAAAGTTCCCAAGACTTGGGTTATTCCAATATTATACTAAACACTAGGAATGATCTTGTAAGAAATGTACATATTATAATGATAAGATTTTGTGTATTAAAAACTGTACTTGCCTTCTGAGGACTGGGAACCACAGGGTAGTAATGTTTCTTCTTCTGATTCATTATGACCCCTAGAATTTAATAGCATAGAAAAAAATCAGTAAAATTTTAAAACACAATACATCATGTACTTGGTAATTGATTTTAAACAGTACATGAAACATAGTAAAACATTAACATTCTGGGCACATTGCTGAAAATTTTAGGTTTAATCCTTTTGCACAGAAAAACTGAATTCCTGTTGCTAAATAAC